GTCGAATAAGTCAAGTTGTTAGTAAATTGTTAGAGTTGTTCCACTTTTTCAATATTTTGACTAGTTTTAGTTTGTTACAATTTCTAGTATTTTAATAAGATTGTTTGGGGATATTTACATTAAATTTGTTCATATGCCTCTATAAAAGGTAAAGTTGATGAATGAGAAATGATAAGTCTTTTTTTTTTTTTTTGCAATAACAATGACAAGTATTGTTTCTTAATTTTTCCTATGGACTATATATATACATTATCTTTTATCAACGTTGCCAAATTCTTGAACATTTGGAAACATTAAATTCTTATTGCTATTGCTAGAGTACAATTTTACACGAATTACCCTGCCATAAGTTTTGAAATTAATCTATTGGATGTAACTACAAAAGCAAATAACAACCTACTTGCTATTGACATGGATGATTCTACTATACTTATCTACAACGTATGGGCCTGTGGTATAACACGCATTTTGCACATGTAATGCTTTTAACATGATGAAATAGTAGTGATCAACTTAAATATTTCTTATAAATTTTACGACTTATGAACAAGTTTACTGGGCGTTTGGAAAGGATTAGCGGCTTAGCCTTTTCTAATGCATTGAAAGCACTAATTTAATTATAACTAAAGTAGTTATGAGGTAGTTGAGAAATTTGATTTTACAATGACAGGTCGTCAGCCTGTGCAATAATAATAATAAATATAGAACCTAGATACCACTAAAAGCAGTCAATAATCAATCCTAGGTACTGGAGCAGGGACTCTAGGTGTGCAATGGGTTACTTGATTCACCCTGTTCCCGAAGAGTTTGCTTAACCCGATATACCAGAATTAATTAATTAACAAAAATTACTAAATAGTAGACAGTGGCAAGTAGGGTCGTCTCCTCAGGGACTGGGATATCTGTCTCTTTTTAAAGTCCAATTGATAAGGGGGGATTTCACCAGAATGAAACTAAAAATAATTAAACAATTTAATTAAAGATAAATAAATCACTAGCAAAAGTAAAACAGGAATTAAATCAAGAATAAATAAATTCTAGCAAAGGATACAACTATTCAGGCACAGTCCAATCATCCAATCATTAATGCAAGAGAGGTTCACTTAATGTATTAATAGGCTAGTTATAGTCTGACGACCAATTTTTCCTTAAATTATAGATGACCAAGGTACGACCATTAATCACCTCTAACCAGAAAAGTACTCCTAGGTACGACCGTAGGAATTAATTTTCTAATTGCATTAATAACTAGAAAAACCTAGCCCTAACCAATAACACGCTACGAGGGTTATTTAAATTAGATTGCACGTTCCCCTAATGTGTAAACACACCAGTTGCCACTAACATTAATCAATCAAACAATTACGGATTTAATTGACTAAATTGGCACGAGATTAATAAATCACATTGAATATCGGGCCCTTGACATCCAATAAATAAAATAATCCCATGAAAATTCAAGCAGATAACGTGCAAATATTAATAAATAAAGGAACACGTGAAAACTAATTAGATCTCACAGATCTTCGGGACTGCGCCGTCGAGTTGACCCTTAACTAGATGGAAGATTTAGCCACGCCGCATAATTAAATCACCACACGAATTAATGGATTGCAAAGGCATAGCGTTTTTTACTAGAAAGCAAGGAATAAAAGATGTTTTTCCCGTTGGGAAATTTTGTCGAACACCTGGCGTGTGTCAGAGGCCAGTCAGGAGAAAGCAAAACTAAAACTGAACTAAAAGACTAAAACTAGAGATGTCCCTGTTACTCTACGTTATCCCTATTTAAGCAACAAAAGAAAGATGACTAAAGCCTATCTAGGTGGTCCCCACACATGTGGACAAAGCCTTCAAAGTACTACTTGCCCAAGTCTCTTTCCGTAGCTTTCTTTGAAGAGCCCAAATGACATATAGTTTGTGGTCCCCCACCAATTCAAGGGCCCAAGAATTGAAGCCCCTAGAAATCTCCATATTCTCCATAAAATCCCTCCTTTTTGGTAGTTTTCTGTTTCACTCCTGAAATTAAGTCCATATACCAAAAATGAGTAGATCTCAGCAATTAACACAATATTTATCAGGGATAAAAGGGAAAATTAATAATAAAATTACTAACAAATTATACCCTATCAATTCCCCCACACCTAAATCATGCTTGTCCTCAAGCATGGAGACAATTCAACTCAACACAGGCTAGCTTTCACACTTTCATTACCAGCTGCGCTTATACTCAAAATCAAGATTTAGCGGCTAAGTGTCAAATCATATCTTACTCGGTTAGTTTCTAAGTTCATAGACCTGTCCAATTCATGGCTAATTCGCTTAGGAAATCCAAATATTAACTAGCAACAGGCAGTAATTGAGTCAACTGGCAACCAAAATCTCAACAGTGCGAACCAAGGATCGGCAGGCCAACATGATCATAAACTCACATTTTCCATATCTGATTTTTTCCTCTTTTTTTTTTCCTCTTTTTTTTTAATCTTTTTTTTATTAGATTGCGCAAATAATGCTTAGTCCTGAGCTATTCAAGTCTTTTGACGTGAACTCTGACATTTTTAGATGAAAGAGCCCTGTTACTCAACTTTTCACAGCTCCAGGACCACTTACTCATAGATATCGCCACTTTTTGACGCGAGAGCCGACACGTGTGGTGAAGACCCCCGGTTACTGGGTGACGACACTAGCGGAGTAAAGCCATACGTTATTCACCAATAACACCAAAATACCAAGTATTTAAAGATCATAGCTTGCGTCATTTCCTAAATATGGAGAACTAAGGTCGACAGGAGACCAATCCAGACAACACTGCCAACAAAATATTTGCATTGCCTAGACAAGTTAGCCATAAATTGCACCCAGTCGTTAAACTAAAAGCATTCACCAAGACAGCGTGCTTTTACTCGCCACTAAAACCCAATTCATAGTATAAACTACCACTAGCAATGAAAAAAAGTGAGCTGCCAAAATATTCACCGAGATAACAAAAAAAGAAAAAAACACCCAAAAGGGACTAAAGGGACAACACCTCAACAGAAAAATGACACTTAAACAAAAAACATAGGAAAAACACCCCAAAAACGAAAGATTGAAAATATCTAGCACCCAAACCGACCCCCCACACCTAAATGGCACATTGCCCTCAATGTGATAATATAATAACAGAGAAAACGGAAGGGGCAACGGTACTTCCCTGATGTCGTCAAGACAAGGGGGGTTGGGCGGAAACTGCGGAGGGAACCCGGCCTGCTGCATAAATGCCGCTAGATTCTGGCCATATTGTGAATGTTAACGTCCATGTGTTTCTGCCGAATCTCAAGCCGCTCGACTGTGTTGCGTAGCTGGTTCCATTCCTCATCCGTATGGCCGGAATGGGGGGAACGGAGGAAGACGGTCCAGGATCGCCGCCCTCAGTGGAAGCTCGGGCAGAAGATGACCAAGGGGGAGGGCGTAGAGGCCCCGGGGGACAACCTCCCAACCATTGTCGCCCTCCCGAACTAAACCCATTTTCTCTAGGCACGGGATATCCAAAGGCTCCATTTGGCAGGCTATATGCAAGTTATGGTGAGAAATATCAAGTACATGCAAATTAATCGCCAAGTGAGTAATGTAAGAACCAAAAATCAAGGGGCGTTTCTTTTTAGGCAAAATGGACTTGAATTGAGACGCGAGCCAACACCCAAGATTAACCTTTTTATTGTTTTGCATGCACCATATAAAGAAAAAATTCGGGCTTAGACAGAATGCCCGAACTATCTCGCCTACCAGAGAAACTGTAAGCCAAAAAACGGTGGATATAGCGAGAGGCCGGGTCTTTCAGATAGGACCCTTTGATAGACGAGGGTCATAGTTTTTTCTGTCTACAGACATATCATCCCAAAGAAAGCGATAGCGGGAGAAAAACGGCTGGACATAATCACATGCGCTCTCGGCATACTCCCTAGACTCAGCATAAGCAGGATCAATGAAACCAAAGGCCAGATTGAAGTCAGTTATGGAATGGTGGAATTCCTGCCCATTAAACGGAAGCGGATGACATCAGGGGTAGAAACTGTGTAATTAGTGGGAAGGTCAAACTCAAACGTGGCATAAAACTCCCTAACCAATTCAACAAAGGCTGGGAGGTCAGTTATACGAGAATAGGGGCGCCACCCGATGGCCTCAATCAAATCGTGAAAGGGGACGCTAATATTTAGAAGGCCCAAGGTGGATCCCGATAACGACAAGGAATAATCCGTCGTTCACAAGCCGCTTCATAGCGCCGCTTGTCGGCGGCCCTAGTGAAGTCCAAATGACCCCCAAAATGTGCAGGGTCAGAGATATGGACGCCTCTTTGTCGCCCAAGACGAGCCCGCCTCCCAGAGGAGGAAGGGTCGTGCGAGGGGTCAGAGGCGGGAATGGAATGCTGGGTGGAGGGGGCTGAGGAGTCCTAGGGGTCCTAGTCTTTGTAGAAGATCGAGGCTTCACCATGGTGACCAACAGGCAAACCAAAACAACCAAGTAGCAAATGTAAGCGTCACGGGCGCCCCCAATAAACAAATATAAGCGTCACGGGCGCCCCAAATTTAACCAACAATAGCAGCAAAGCACCCAAAATTTTACACCAAAGATATGAATCAGACACAGTTGGACCCGAAGTTGGAACCTCTGTCACTAACTGGACAGTCAATTACCCAAGACCATTTACCAATTTAGCAATTTAGCCAAGCAATGGGCAATATCAACAACCACATTACTTGCCAGTTAACATGAAGTAGTCCTTGGAGAAACTTGCTATACTATACTTAGATGAAATTGTGAGGTTGCATAGGGTGCTAGCAAAAGGCCAACTCAATCAATATCTATCAGAAACTCTCCCACAAGTGGCAGCAATTACCCCCAAATTCTGTCTAAAATTACCCTAGAAATTACCCAAATCAACCCTTTTGTACCCCGCAAGAAACCCACACATAAAATCCAATAATTAATGCTAATCGGGAAAGAAATCACAATACCTCCACCTACTAATTTAAGCAGGTGGTGATGCCCAGCAATGGAGGTGCGTAAGGCAGCGGCGGCGCAGCTTCTCTTGGACAGGCCAGTGACGCGCACGAGAGAAGGCTGGTGGCGTCGGCTGGGGCTCTGAGCGCGCCGGGCTCGTGGACCCTGGCCGAAGCTGGAGGAGAGCTGGTTGTTGGCCGCGAGCTGCTGGTGGAGCTGCGGCGCGTGGGCGGTGGCGGCGGCGCACGAAGTTGGAGTGTTGGCGCGCGAGGTGCTGGACAGCAGTGGCGGCGGCGCTTGGGTTGGGGCTGCGGATCGCTGCTGAAGATGGTGTCGGCGCGCGTGCTACTGTGGCCCGCAGGTAGAGGCATCGTCTGGTGAAGGCGGCGTCTGGTGGCTTGGACGAGGAGCTGGCGACGGCGGCGGCGCGCGGAAGCTGGTGGCGGTGGTCGCGGAGCTCGGTCAGCGGCGCGCAATGGAGCTTGAAGGCGGCGGCGGCTCAGGAGACACCAACACCGCGTGGGCACGCCAAGATTGCAATTCATCTACTGACCTCAGGAGGCACCAACACCGCGTGGGCACGCCAAGATTTCACTTCCTGATTCAGTGAAGGAAATATTAGTATTGATACTACCCAACGAGTAAATGACCCATTGCAAAAGAAAAACAACTAGAAATACCAAAACAATTAGAAATAAGAAAACTAATATTCGGGTTGCCTCCCAAACTAGCGCCTTTCTTTAGTGTCTTTGGCTAGACATAGCCCATAATCTGCTTAAACCAAGCAAATTGAATCCTCCAAATGCATCATCTCTACCCGCTCAACTGGAACCTCATCATAATATGGCTTGAGGCGATGACCATTCACCACAAACTTCTTCTCCGTCTTTAGACTCTGGATCTCCACTGCACCATAATCAAAGACATTAGTTACAACAAAGGGACCAATCCAACGAGAACGTAGCTTACCTGGAAATAACTTCAACTTTGAGTGGTACAGTAAAACTTTTTGCCCACATTCAAACGTCTTCCTAGAGACCTGCTGGTCATGAAAAATCTTGTTTTTCTCCTTATAAATCACAGCATTCTCGTAGGCTTCATTGCGAATCTCCTCCAATTCTTGTAACTGTAGCTTCCTTTGAATTCCGCCCTCTTCGATATCCATGTTGCATTGCTTGATCGCCCAAAATGCTCTATGCTCGAACTCGACAGGGAGGTGGCATGGCTTCCCAAATACCAAACGGTAAGGGGACATGCGATTGGTGTCTTGTATGCCGTTCTATATGCCCATAAGGCATCTTCAAGTCTTATACTCCAATCCTTCCTATCAGGTCGAACCATTTTTTCCAAAATCGACTTGATCTCCCGGTTCGATGCTTCCGCCTGACCGTTTGTCTGCGGATGGTAAGACGTGGAGACTTTGTGCAAGACACCGTACCTCCTAAAAAGTGCAGTAATTGTCTTGTTGCAGAAATGGGTACCCCGATCACTTACAATTGCTCGCGCATCCCAAAGCGGACAAAGATATTAGACTTGATGAATTCTGCAACTACTTTGGAATCATTAGTACGGGTGGCCTTTGCTTCCACCCATTTCGAGACATAGTCTACAGCAAGCAATATATATAAAAAACCAAAAGATGAAGGAAAAGGACCCATAAAGTTAATACCCAAACATCAAAAATCTCAACAAAAATCATTGGGTCTGGGTCATTTGATCCCTTCGAGAAATATTACCTACTCGTTGACACTTATCACATGACTTACAAAATAAGTAGGTATCCTTAAAGAGGGTCGGCCAATAAAATTCACTCTCTAAAACCTTACGAGCAGTCCTCTTTGTCCAAAGTGACCTCCACATGCAAAAGAGTGACAATAAGCTAAAATAGATTGGAATTCATTTTCACTTACATATCTACGAATGATTTGTCAGCACCACGTTTCCAGAGGTACGGGTCATCCCAGATGTAAGACTTTGCGTCACTCCTCAATTTTCCCTTTTTGCCTTAGGTCATCCTGCAGGAAACTTGTCAGTAACTAGAAAATTAACCATATCCGCATACCAAAGCAAAGACAAATTAATAGAAAATAAATGTTCATCGGGAAAAGTTTCTCTCAATGGATATTATCTTCTTCGACTTGCACTCGACTTAAAAGATCCGCTACCAGATTTTCAGCCCTTTCTTATCCCTGATCTCCAAGTCGAACTCTTGGAGCAGTAGTATCCACCTTATCAGTCGCGGTTTTGCCTCTTTTTGGTCAACAGATACCGCAGGGCTGCATGATCAGAGAAAATAATAACTTTAGCACCAAGTAAATAGGACCGAAATTTCTCTAAAGCGAAATTACAGCTAAAAGCTCCTTTTTCGGTGGTCGAATAGTTCAACTGAGCCCCGTTCAAGGCTCGAGAGGCGTAGTATATAGCATGGGCTGCCTTCCCCACTCTTTGACCAGGACCGCGCCCACGGCATAGTCGCTGGCATCGCACATGATCTCGAACGGTAGGTTCCAATCAGGGGTGGATAATAGGTGAGGAGGTCAGTAGCCTTTAACCTGTCAAACGCCCCCTTACATGACTCATCGAACTCGAAGGGTACCTCTTTCTGCAAAAGTTGGAACAGGGGGCGCTCCAATCTTGGAGAAGTCCTTTATGAATCTCCGTAGAAACCTGCGTGACCCAGAAAAGAACGTACCTCCGGCACACTCGCGGGTAAGGTAAAGTAGATATAACATCTATTTTTGCCTTATCAACCTCAATACCCCTAGATGATACCACATGACCCAAAACTATCCCGTGCTCGACCATAAAATGGCATTTTTCCCAATTGAGTACGAGATTAGCTTCTATGCACCTTATTAGAATTAATTTCAGGTTATCTAGGCAGTTATCAAAACTATCCCCGTACACACTGAAATCATCCATAAAAATCTCAATAATCTTCTCAACATATTCTGAAAAAATACTTACCATACAGCGCTGGAAGGTGGCAGGTGCATTGCATAGCCCAAATGACATCCTCCGGTATGCGAATGTTCCAAACGGGCACGTGAAGGTAGTTTTCTCCTGGTCCTCAGGTGCGATAGCAATCTGGAAATAACCTGAAAAGTCATCCAAAAAATAGTAATAAGCTCGACCTGCTAATCGCTCTACCATTTGATCAATAAAAGGAAGGGAAAAATGATCCTTTTTCGTGACGGCGTTCAATTTCCTATAATCTATGCACTGCCGCCACCCAGTGGGCTTCCGGACTGCCACGAGCTCACCCTTCTGATTTGACTCTACCGTCACCACTGCCTTCTTTGGAACCACCTGTACTGGACTTACCCAGGGCTATCTGATATAGCAAAAATTATCCCCACATCTAGTAGTTTTAGGATCTCCTTCTTCACTACCTCCATCATGAGAGGATTCAATCTCCTTTGAGCCTGCCGAATAGGTCTAGCGCCCTCCTCGAGTCGAATCTGATGCGTACATACCGCGGGGCTAATTCCCTTGATGTCGGCGATAGTCCACCCTATCGCCTGCTTATGGTCCCTCAAAACTCGAATCAATTTGTCTTCTTGGACTGTTGATAAACTGGCGGAGATAATCACTGGGAGTGTCCCCCCTCACCCAAGTATGCATACTTTAGGTGTTTTAGCAGCGGTTTCAACTCTAAGACAGGCGCCTGCACCACAGATGGAAGTAGCCTTTGGTGAGGTTCAGGTGTAAACACGGGTGCGAGGTCATACCTTATATTTGTGGTTGGCAACGTCTGCAACGCTCCAATCACACATTTGAGCTCTTCACTCAACTCTATCTCAGCGGTCATCTCTGACTCGAAGTGCCTGGTCAAGGCAACTTCCAGCTCATCCCTGCCTTCAATTTCGAAAACTTCACATACAGCAGAGTCAATAGCATTTATAGAGAAGACAGAGCCAGCATGTGATTCTGACGGATACTTCATAGATTCGAAAATGTTAAAATGAACAATCTCACCATCAAATTCCATAGATAGGGTGCCCTTATTAACATCTATTTTAGTTCGAGCTGTGCTCAAGAAGGGTCTACCTAACAGTAAAGGTGATGGGTCGTGAGAGTATTCATCATCCATATCAAGCACGTAAAAATCAGCAGGGAAAACCAATTCATTAATTTTCACTAAAACATCCTCAATCAACCCGTCAGGGTATGCATTGGTCCGGTCAGCCAGTTGGATTATTATTCCAGTGTCTTTCAGAGGTCCTAACTTCAACGAGGCATATATAGACTTGGGCATCACATTAATTGAGGCTCCTAGATCTAACATAGCCTTTTCAATCAGGATATTGCCTATTCTGCACGGAATAGTGAACATACCTGGGTCTCCGCATTTCGGAGGAAGCTTTCGTTGCAGAATTGCTGACACATTTTCTCCCACTACTACTCTCTCATCTCCCTTCAATCACCTTCGGTTGACACACAGGTCCCTTAAAAATTTTGCGTATCTAGGTACCTGCTTAATCGCATCTAGAAGAGGAATATTGATCTCCACTTTACGAAAGATCTCTAGGACCTCTTTCTCATTGTCCTGCTTCCTTGGTTTCTCCAATCTGCTTGGGAAGGGAGGTGGGTTGGATCTAACTGGCATGAGTGGGTTCGGGATTACCTTTGAATTTTTATTACGGGTCATAGGCTCTTCTTGGCGCGGGCGCGTGGCCAGCCATGTTCACCTGTTCTGCAGTCTCTTCCTGAAGCATTGGACACATGTCTGCAGAGTGTCCTATACCCGTGCAAATCCCGCACACCCTGGCTTGAGTTGCTCTCTCTACAGCCATTTGCCTCACAAACGAGGTCAACTCAGTTAGCTGCTGCTGGACAGATGGTGTCTCTATCTCGTTCACCTTACGTATTGGGACATCCTCTCTTGTACCAAATTGTTGTGAATTTTCTGCCATCCCCTCTATTAGCTCCCGTGCTTCCTGAGGGGTTTTGTTCACCAGTGCCCCTCCACTTGCAGCATCAATTATGCTCCTATCTCTGAATAGGAGCCCCTCATAAAAATACTGAATGAGCAACTGCTCACTTATCTGGTGCTGGGGACACTTGTGCAACAAATTCTTGAACCGTTCCCAATACTCGTAGAGTGACTCCCCTGGATGTTGTTTGATCCCGCAGATTTCTTTTCTTCGGCTTGCAGCCCTGGACGCAGGGAAATATTTATCCAAAAATTTCTTCTTCAGTTGGTCCCATGTGTGTGATGCTACCTGGTGGCAGGTAGTACAGCCAGTCCTTTGCAGAATCCTTCAAGGAAAAAGGGAATGCCCTCATTTTTATCTGCTCTTCTGTAATGCCCGGGGGCTTCATACTATATTGCATACGACATCAAATTCCTGCAGATGCTTATACGGCTCCTCACCTGGTAAACATGAAAAGAGGGTAAAAGATAAATCAGTCCAGATTTTAACTCGAATGAAGTGTTTTCACTCAAACTCGGAAAAGTAATGCACAAAGGCTGCTGATTTAAATTAGGGGCAGCCAACTCCCTTAATGTTCGTGCATTAGCCATGGGAATTTCTTCTTGCTC